TTTTTTTTTTTTCTTCGTGGTGCTGGGGATTGAACCCAGAGCCTTGTTCATGTGAGGCAATCACACTACCAACTGAGTTATATCCCCAGCCAATATATATATATATTTTTTTAAATTTTTTATTGTGGGTTGTTCAAAACATTACAAATTTCTTGACATATCAGCCAATATATTTTATTTAGAGTTGCTTAGTGCCTTGCTAAGTTGCTTAGAATGGATTTAAACTTGCCATCCTCCTGCCTCAGCCTCCTGAGCCATTGGGATTATAGGCATGTACCACTGTGCCTGGCCATTTTTCTTTTTTAATGATTTAAAGTAGTATTTTGGCTGCATATCCCAAGTGCTATGTATATGATATACTAATACTATATAATATATAGTTTATATAGTATATATACATTAAGTCTAAAAAGAATTACAAAGAAATCTAAAACTAGATCATATTAATTTTACTGGGTATTTTATTGGTATATTGTAGGATAAAGTAAAAAAATATCTGCACTAATAGAAAAATTTTAGCATTAGAGAAATGAGATACAAGCATAAAATCAAGGAAGACTAAATCTTACAATCCTAAATTTCTTGCTAGAAATATAACTACAAGCTCATGATTTTTTCTCTCTTAAAAATAACCATTTCCACAAGGTGTGGTGGTGCACATCTGTAATCCCAGGGGCTTGGGAGGCTGAGGCAGGAGGATTGCAAGTTCAAAGCCAGCCTCAGCAATTTAGTGAGGCGCTAAGCAACTTAGGGAGACCCTGACTCAAAATAAAAATAAAAATTGCTGGGGATATGATTCAGTGGTTAAGCACCCCTGGGTTCAATCCCTGGTGCAAAAAATAAATAAATAAATAAACCAAAAACTATTTCCTAACTCAAACCTTTGAAAAATACCTATAGCAATAATAACTACTATCTATGTATGTTATCTAAATAATATTTATTACTAAAAGGAATCAAAATTTCTTGGAGAAATGGTACATACCAGTTGTAGGGCAGAGAATGAGCCTAAATATCTTATGATGACTATCAGTCATGTCAAAAAGACACAGGTCAACTTAAAGGATCTTCTATTGACCAAATTTGGGGAAATTTGACATTAGAATGATAATGACTGAAAATGATTAGAACCTGTCAAATATAAACAAATCCATGAGTTCAAAATGATAATATCTGCAAACAAATGTATTGGTTACCAGTAGAAATTTCAGAATTTGAAAATGTAGAAATACGAAGAAATAAATACAAAGAAATAAAAACAATTGTTTTATCTTTCCTAAAGAAACTGTTCTAAAATTAATGCCTTCCTTCTTCCAACAATATTCCTTAGCTTTGAATTTTGTACTTTTTTATTCACTAATATTATAGCCCTTTTATGTCATCTCTATAACAGTGTCAGTTCTCCATGGGTAATAATAGCACTAAAAAGAATCTGGAGAGAGGAAAGACCACACTACAAGACTAATAGAAAACAATGAACAAAATTTCAACAGTAAATCCTTCCCTAACAATAATTACTTTAAACGTAAATGGGTTAAACTCCCCCAGTCAAAGGACACAGAGTGACTGAATGGATTTAAAAATAATACCCAACTACATGCTGTCTACAAAAATTCCCTTTAGATTTAAGGATGCACATAGGCTGAAAGTAAAGACATAGAAAAGAGATATCCTATACAAATAGTAACCAAATGGAATGGGGGTAGCTGTACTTACATCAGACAAAATAGACTTTAGATCAAAAACTATCACGAGACAATTGAAATGATATTTTGTTGTTTTATTTCATTTCCCTGGTTAATAGTGAGGTTGAGTATCTTTTAATATATTAATTTTTTAAATTTTTCTCCTTTGTGAATTATCAGTTCATCTATTTTGTAGTTTTCCATTTATTGTTTATCTTTTACTTTGTGTATGTAGCAATCATTTCTTGTTTATTTATATATATATATATATATACACACACACACACACATTCTTTTAATTTCTGTCTAGCCTATTAACATTATACTATTTTATTGTAAAGACATTAAAATTTTAAAATACCTAAAAACTAACACAAAAAACAAAGAACATTATGTAATTATAAAAGGGTTAATCTATCAGGAAGATATGATGGATACACAGATATCCTTCATAACTTGTGGTATAAACAAACACACTCAATATCAGAGTACTTAAATATATAAATATATAAATAATATATAATATAAAATATAAATATATAAAAGCAACACGACATAACTAGGGGGAGAAATATATAGCAATATAATAATAGTAGGAGGCTTTAATATCTCACTTTTAATAATGGATAGAACAGCCAAACAGAAGATCAATAAGGAAACAGAGGATGTGCATGATAGTACAGACCAAATGGATATAATAGATATACACAGAATGTTCCACTCAATAACAGTAGAATACACATCTTCTCAAGTGCACAAGAACTTTCTCCATAATAGATCATATTAGGTCACAAAACAAGTTTTAACAAATTTAAGAAGACTGAAATCATACCAAGTGTCATGCTGATCACAATGGAATGGAATATTAATCAACAGCAGAAGAAAAACTGAAATATTCACAAATAAATAGAAATTAAATGGTACACCCTTGGATGATCATTGGTTCAAAGGAAAAGTCAAAAAGGAATTAAAAACATACCTAAAGAAAAGCAAAATTAAAAACACAACATACCAATATTTACGGGATATAGCAAAAGCAGTACTGGGGGAAATTATTGTGACAAACAATCATAATAATGATCTCAATTAAACAACCTAACTTTACATTTAACCCATTTACTGTCTAGTAAAAGATCAAAGATGGAGGCATCATTCTTCCTGATTTCAAATTATATTATAATAAAGCTGCAGACATGTAGACCACTGGAATAGAATCTAGAGATCCAAAATAAATTTGCCCATATATGGTAAACTGATAGTCATCGAGGGCATCAAGGATATACAAGGGAGAAAGAATAGTTTCTTTAACAAATAATGCTGGGAAAACTGGATAATCTCATGCAGAAGAATGAAAGGAGACTGACCCTTCCATTTTCAAAAGATAGTATTCAGCCTTAACTGGATCCAATTGTAGTGGCCTTTCCCTTTTGCCAGCCCTAAGAGGGGTTTTAAAAAAAATCCAATCACCAAAATGGGCAAAATACTTGAATAAACATTTCAACAAGGAAGACACAGAAATAGCCAACAAGGGGGCTGGGGTTGTGACTCAGCGGTAGAGCACTAGCCTAGCACGCCCAAGGCCCTGGGTTCGATCCTCAGCATCACATAAAAAATAAATAAATAAAATAAAGGCATTGTGTCCAACTACAACTAAAAAATAAGTATTAAAAAAAGAGAAATGGCCAACAAGCATATGAAAAGTACTTAGGTATTCAGGGAAATGAAAATAAAGACCACAAAGAAATTTTACCTCCTACCTGTTAGGATGGCCATTATTAAAGAAACAAAAGACAACAACTGTTGGTGGAGATGTAGAGAAATCAGAACCCTCGCACTCTGTTAGTGGGAACGCAAAATGGTTCAGCTGCTAGTGAAAATAGTATGGAGATTCCTCACCTAACTAGAAATAGAATTATCATATGATTTAAAAACTACTTCTGGATACTTATCTGAAAGAATTGAAATCCAGAGCCTGAAGAGAGATCAGCACTCCCATGTTTAGTGCAGTACTATTCATAATAACCAAGATGTGGAAACAACTCAAATATTTATCAAAAGATGAATGGACAAGCAAAATGTGGTATGTAATACAGTGGAATTCTGCCCAGCTTTAAAAAAGAAGGAAATACTCCAATAGGTTACAATATGAATGAACCCTGTGGACATTATGCTAAGTGAAATGTCAGTCACAGAAACACAAATCTGAATGATTCCACTACTGTGGAATATGTAAAATAGTCAAATTAATATAATTAAAGAATGGAATGATGGTTACCAGGAGCTGAAGTAGGAGAAATGGGAATTACCAACTGATATAAAAGTTAAGAAAGTTGAATAAACTGCAGAGCTCTGCTGTACAGCATTTACTAATAGTCATTTAGCATATGCTTAAAGTTATAAGGGTAGATCTCTTTTTAATTGTTTTTACCACATTAAAGATAAAAATAAAAAGAAAGCAATCTACTCCAATTCTGAAAGGAAAAAACCCTAAACATACTCTTACATTGACATTCATGCTCTCTGTTATCCACCCAAAGGATATAAAAACTTACATACACAGAAAAACCTGCACATGGATGTTTATAGCTGCTTTATTCATAATTGCCCAAACTGGGAAGCAAACAAGATGTTCTTCAGTAGGTGAGTGGGTAAAGTGTGGTATATTCAGATAATAATATATTTCAAGTGCTAATGAGCTATTATGCCATGAAAAGATATGAATGAAACTTAAATGCATATTACAAATTGAAAGAAGCCAGTGAAAAGACTGTATACTGTATAATTCCAACTAAAGGACATTCTAAAAAAGACAAAATTATAGAGAGAATTTAAAAGATCTGAGGTTTCCAGGAGTTAGGGGTGAGAGCAGGAAAGGGTAGGTGAATTCTGGAGTGAACCCGTGCAGTGAAAATACTCTGTATGATACTTTAATGATGGATATGTGTTGCTATAAATTTGTCCAAACATATAGAATATATAACACCCAAAGTGAACCATCGTTAACTATGGACTTTGGGCAATAAGGATGTATCAACGTAAACTCATCATTGATAACATATATACCACTTTGGTGGGGGATGTTGGTGATGGGGAAGGCTATGCTTGTGTAGGGGTAGAGGATATTTTGAAAATCTGTACTTCCTACTCAATTTTGCTGTGAACATAAAATGCTTTAACAAAGTCTAAAAGAGAGAAAGCAAACAAAACAATTTGGTATGTCTTTCACATAAAGTACACTGTGCATAGCAATGCTCACTGGAATAAAAGAATAATTCAACTGAAGTCTTGATGTGGTCTGGTCAAAATCAGGTGCACTGAAAAATTTGCCCCCTGCTTATAGTTGAAATTTTCAATGTGGAATTGACAATAATATCCTAGTATTATTATAAAGAAAATGGTAAAACGATACAACAAATTACATTAGTTCAAAAATATTGACTTACCTCGACTCTAGATCCAATGTAATTTCTATTAGAGAAGTATCTGAATCATCACAGACTTTTTCCAAACTCATGCGTTTTTCCATTTCTTCTAATTCTTTCAGGCACTGATAATACTAGAGAAAAATTATAAATGAGTTCACTATGAAATAATTTTGCTTCATGCTGGGTGCAGTGGTACATGCCTATAATCCTGGATACTTGGGAGGCTGAGGAAGGAGAATTGTTAAGTTTGAGGCCAGCCTGGGCAACTTAGCCAAACTTTGCCTCAATATAAAATAAAATATTAAGAAAGGGCTGGGGATGTAGCTCAGTGGTAGAGCACTTGCCTCGCATGTACTGGGTTCAATCCCTAATGCCAAAAACCATTTTTTTTTTCTTCCTAATCAAACTAATTGAGTATTTATAGACACCTGGAATAATAGTTACTGGGACATTAAATCTGACAGACAAACAAACAAACTATAACAAAACTCCCAGACCATGGGTTTAGGACATTAAAAGGAAAAAACTGCTGTAGGTTGACAGGCGATGTGTTATCTGATAGGCTAGAATCTGATGCTTTATCAAGCGCTCTTGGCTTACCTTGCTCCGATCGGGATCACAATAGTCCAAGAGAGAATCACAAAAATGGTAGCCCATTGACTCCAAGTCTTTTGTGCTGAAATGAGTGCCTCGTTTATTACCTAAAACATCAATAAGTTTATCTACCCTTGAGGATGAGTAAATCATTTTTTTCTTTAGCAAGCAGGTCTAAAATGTAAGGGTATGAACAAACATTGATTTGATTCCATATTCTGTCTTTTGGATTTTCCTCTCTGGGACAGGTCATTTAACAGCCTACCACATTAAAGTTAAAAATAAGAGAAAACAATCTACTCCAATGCTGAAAGGAAAAAAAAAAACTAAACTGTTACTTTTCCTTATTTTAACATAAATTAGTTTATGTTGCAAGGCAGAAGAAAGTTCAGTTACACACTTACGTAATATTGGTTACCAGTTATAAACAGTATCAGTAGTCATTCTGGAAAAACTTGGGTCAAGATTTTATGAGAGAATGTTTTCATCATCATGAATAATGTTCTATCAGTTTCAAGGTATTTTAAAAATTATCCAGAAATCACATATGTGGATGTCTAGTACTTTCCTTTGAGTGGATATATTGTCTAATAGTGTGAAAAATTATCTTAATCTAGAATATTTTGAACACACCTTATGCTAGATGTGACTAAAAGATTTATTAAATGAGACTACAAAGCACATTTTAATTTTTAGTTCAGGGACCCAAGTGTTTCCTTTTAAATATAAATACACACACACACACACACACACACACACACACCACAGTAGTCTATTTTTGCCTTTCAAAGGGCAAATTCAATAAAAATATTTCTATAATTTTTAAGTATGTTTATTGCTTTGTCTTCAAATAATCAGAACCCCCCCTTTTAAAAAATATATAGAAATATTCTTTAAAAAAAACAAGCATTTGAAGATTCGTTTACAAAACAACCAATTATTCTATGCACAACATGTCAAACATTCCTTTCTAAACAAAGGGAATGAAATAGAAATACCATATAGTGGAAGTTTATTCATTCCACTTATAGATCGACATCAGCATACATTTAAATAGGAAGAATGTGCTCACTACTAGATCAACTCCACTACTATTAATTTTATGTTGAAAATATATATCTTTGGTTTAATGCTCTGGGAGCTGTGAGTGAGAACACTTGGCCTTACCCAAAGTAGATCCACAAAAGGTGGCCTCCATGGTAAAGCTGTTCCGGATTCCCATTTTCCACATTACCACCCTTCCTGTTCCTTCCTTGCTCTTCTGAATATTGAACTTGCAAGCTGGGAATGAAAACTGACAAGCAGCAAAAAAAAAAAAAAAGAAAGAAAGAAAGAAAGAAAAAAGAAGACACATATATTTCTTAGGAAGAAGGGTTAAAAATGAAAAACTAACTGCAAAATCTGCATAGATACACATGTTGTTTTCATTACTTCTCCATCCCAGATTGTCTGCTTTTTCTTCCTTTCTATCTCTTGCCTTACATAGTGGTTAGAACTTTCAGTGCAAGTTGTATGGGAGGGTTGAGAGTGGATATTCTCTTATCCTTAAGAGAACAATATTATTTTTCACCAAGTATGATGCTGGCTATAGGATTTTTGTAGGTGTCTTTTTATTAAGTTAATAAAAATACACTTTTATTCTTTATTTGCTGAAAGTATTTATCATGAATAGATGCTGCGTTTGTTAAAAGCTTTTTATATAGCAATGTGTGATAAGCATATGATATGTCCACACATTTTTTTCTTCTGTAGACTCTTAGCATAATGGATTACATTGGTTAGTTTTCAAATATAGAACTAGTTTGATATTCTTATGATAAATCCCATTTGGTCAGGATGTATTATGCATTTTATAAATTGCTGGATTTAATATGCTAAAATTTTGTTAAAGATTTTTGCATCTATGTTCAAGAAGTATAAGAGTCTGTATTTTTCTTTTATTGTATAGCTTTGTCTTGTGTTGGTATCACAGTAATCCTAGAAGAAATTTTCTTTAAATATTTGGTAGAATTCTTTATTGAATCCATTTGGATCTGAGATTTCATTTTTTGTAAAGATTTTTTGGGGGACGGGGTGGGGGTTGGTGGTTGAGGACCATTCAGATTATCCATTTCACATTGTGTGAGTTTTGGTAGTTTGTTATTTTTCAAGGAGTTGGCTCATTTCATCTAAGTTGTTAAATTTATGTGTAGAGAGTTGAGTTGCCCCTTATTGTCTTAATAAGTGACACCCTCTTTCATTTGAGTCATCTCCTCCTCTTCCTCGTCAGGTTCCTCAGTTTTATTGCTCTTCACCAAGCACAAGCTTTCTGTTTTAATGTTCTTCTGCACTGTTTTTTTGTTTCCAATTTCACTAACATGCTCTTATATTAATTATCTACTTGTTTAGGGCTTATTTTCTTTTCCAGTTTCTTTTTGTAGAAACTTAGATTATTGACTTGGAATCTTTATTCCTTTTTAAGCACTGGAATTTTAACTAAATTTCACAAAATGTAACATCATATATTTTCATTTTCCTTCAGTTTAAAATATGTATTTAATTTTCCTTGAGACCTCCCTCTTTGGACTAAGGATTATTTAGAATGTGGTTTAATTTCTATTGTTTGGAAATCTTTTTTTCTTGTATTGATTTCTAAATTCCATTATTTCAGATAACATATTTTATATAATTTCAATTATTTCAAATTTGTTAAGGTTTGTTTTAAAACAGGATATAATCTGTACTTTAGTAAATGTTCTATGTATATTTGTACATAATGTGTATTTTGCTGTTCAGAATGTTCTGTAAATGTTCATTAAAATCAGCTGTTTGATGGTTTTTATAGTTTGGATATAAGGTGTCCCCCGCAAAAGTTCATGTGTTGTGCAGTGCAGGAGTGTTCCAAGATGAAATGATTAGATTATGAGAGGTGAGTGGACTATTAGGTGGTAGGTATAAGGAGGTAGGAAGCAGGTTACTAGGGGCATGACCTTGGGGTTGTGTCTTGTCTCTGCTTCCTGGATGTCATGAGCTGAGCAGTTTTCCTCTGCCATGCCCTGCCACCATGATGTTCTGTCTCACTTCAGGCCCAGAGTGATGGAGTCACCTGAGTATGGACTGAACCTCTGGAACCATGAGCCCAAAATAAACTTTTACTCCTGTAAATTGTTCTAGCAGGTATTTGGGTCACAGTGAAAAAAAGCTGACACAAACAATGGTGTTTTCAGTTCTTATATATCTTTGTCTATTGTCTGTCTACCAGTTATTGAGAGAGGAATTAACTATAATCATATAACTATAATTGTGGATTTTCACAGAGAGATTTTAAGGAGAACATTTAAGAGAAAACCTAGAATGGAACACTCCCCCCGCATATATATATATATTATATTATATTATATATAAATATATATGTATAAATATATATATTTATTCATATATATTTTTATATATCCTCAGTAATATTTATACTGGGGATTGAACCCAGCGGAACTTTACCAATGAGCAACGTCCCCCCAGTCCTTTTTATTGTTTATTTTGAGACAGGGTCTCTCTGAGTTGCTGAGCATGGCCTGGAACTTGCTGTCCTTCTGCCTCAATCTCCTGAGTTGCTAGAATCACGGGCATGTGCCATGATACCTGGAAAACCTCTATATTTTAAACAAAATGTATATTACGTGGAAGACCTCTTTAAACTGTAGACTGGTTGTTCAAGAAACTGATCCATTTTGTGTCAGAAAATATGTCAATAGACAAATATTAAAATATTATTAATATTTAAATATTAAAATATCTTAACAAAATGGGATCATTTTATAGGAGTAATAAAATATACCTATGAGTACTGACATAACTTTATATAGGGACAGTTTCAGGTACTGGGGTTGATTTCGCTGATCTTTCTGAAGGAACAAATACCCTTTGGGTAGTAAACCTATGCTTTCTGTAAATAGCTCTTCTACCAGATCATCCTTTCCTTTTTATATCTTTGGGTACTAATTGTCTCCAGAAAATAAAGAGTACTTCCCAATAAGTTCTTTATAGTTGAATTGGTTGGTTGACAACCTAAGAGGAAGTCAACAGGAACTTTTTTGTTGTTGTTGTTAATCTAAAATCTTTAAATAATGATTAAAAAATTTTCATATCTTTTGTAACTGAGTAGTTTCAACATTTTTATAGTCTGAAAATGCACTCTATTCTTTTCTCATTCTAATTTCTCTGTATTTTCTCATTGATTTTTTTCCTGGTAAAATTCTAATAAATACTATATAGTATATAAAAGATAATATTTTGTAGGCTAAAAGCACATCTTTTAGCCTATACAATTAGGAACTGAATATATACTAAAACAATAAATAAAGATCCCCAAACTGATGAAAATGGTCAACAGAGGAAGCTTTGTAAAGGCCAAACATGGGGTATTAAGAGGGTGGGACTATGGGAATTTTTGACTTCTCATATTTTCAAACTGTTGGTCATGAACAATTCCACATAGCTATTCGAATGGTCAGCTATATAAATCAGTCAAATGACTAACGAAAAGCAGGTTACTGAATAGGATTTTTCATTTGATTGTCCTACACGGGCAATATTTAGTAAAATAAAAATTAAAATCTTAAAGATACTTACTTTATCTGGACAATTTTTACTCAGCATAAATGGGAAGATTCGTTGCTGTAAGTATAATGCTTTAGTTCTGTCACTACCATCACAGCCATACATGAAGATGTTCTCTTTCCTACTATGTCCATGGAGATCACAATATAAAATAACCTCTCGCTTCTCCATCAACCTACCAAAAAGAAAAAGAACAAATTACTAAATATTACCTCTGAATTTTCTTCTATGGGTACAATTCTGTATTTATAAATGTAAAATCCAAATAAATACAGTTTCTTATATCCTAAGCTTTCAATTTTTCTCTTTTCTTACCTATGCCACATATTATTATTAATATACATTTTTTAAAAATGTAATAAGTTCCTGTTTATTATATATAAAATCTGAATGCTGCAGACCTCCTCTCATAAGAACCTTACTCTCAAGACTTTCTCCCAGCAAGTTCTAGTCTATTGTTCTGGTTTTCTGTTATACTCAGAAAACAGATCACTCTTGTTTTTGCTCATTACTTTTCACATTGATTCTGGAAGACTGGAATGTCTTCACCCTTCATCTTTATAAATGTAATTGCTACCCACCCCATCCTTAGAAACCCTTCTCACGTTTCACTTCCTGCCTGACTAGCAGAGACCATCTATTTTTGTCTTTTCAAACTCCTATAGTGCTTTATTGGTAGCATTTCCTTGGCACTTGTCTAGAAAGGTTTCCATATTTTTGATATTTAAACTCATCAGGGATGGAAAATGCTTTTAATCTTCTAGAACAGCACATAATAAATACCCAAACATTTCTTAAAAATTGAATGCCTGAGAACTTGGTGTTGAAGCCAAATAATAGTTAATTCTTAATTAATGTGGTGGCTAAATATCATTCTGAGAAAAATGGTACCAACCTTGAATTGAAAATTTGGTAATAAATTTCTAATAAATATTTTAAAGAAATTATTATACATTCTGTAAGGCCATAATCATAACTTAGCACTCAATGATTTTAAAACAATAAAAAATAAGACTCTTGGGCGGGGGTTGTGACTGAGTGGTAGAGCACTAGCCTAGCAAGTTTGAGGCCCTGGGTTTGATCCTCAGCACCACATAAAAATAAATAAAATAAAGGTATTATGTCCAACTACAACTACAAAATAAATATTTAAAAAAATAAGACTCTCAAACTGACTAATGAAAATGACTAACAGAGAAAGCTTTTGAAAAATAAAAAAGTGGTGTTATGAGCACTTTTGTCTCTTTTTCATATTTCCAGATCTTATATAGCATTATTATATTAATAAAAATTAAACCATTTGTTGTTATATATGGAAGAATACTAAAATGTTAGCAGTAGTATTATAATTATATATTTATAACAAAACTATTAAAATCTAAAATAAATTATTTAAAGCATTACTTTTAATAAAAACAATTCTTTAAACTATAATAAAATTTTAAACTGAAATCTGTTATATATATATATATATATATATATATATATTTATTTATTTATTTATTAACTACCCTTTATCTCATTTGTTGCCAAATAAATTCTAATTGATAACATACTTTGACAAAAAGCCACTGAAAGATCATTATAAGTTTTTAGAATACTAACTAGATAAGCATGAATATCAAGTGAATAACTTAAATATGAAGTATGCTGTGCAATTTTAACCCCCAAATTCCTCATTTTAATGACTCTTTAGCTTTTTATACATGAGTCAAAAAACCCCTGTACTTCTAAATAATCTATTCCTAAAGAAATATTATTACTTCAATAGTAAAACAGGATATTAAGATATCTTAACTTATATTAATTAAAATAATTTTAGAGAATAATTTAGATTTTCTTCTTATCCACAGGTAACTAAGATACTGTATTTTATATTTTACTCAGATCTACTCTCTCTTATTCTAATATGCTTTAAATATACTTACTCTTAGATCTACTTACAACTGGTTCACCTTTGCACACATATAGGACCAATTTCTTATTTTATTTACCTGCCTTTGATTAATTGCACTGAGGTATTTCTCTTTCTTAGAAATCTTTCCGAAATTCACTGAATAGACTTCTGCCTGTTAACCTTCCTCAAAGGCAATCTAACAACTGACACATTTGTCCATAGAGACAAGCCAAGAGGTTATGGTATGTAATCCATCATGTGTCAGGCCAGGACATTCAATTAACTTTTTTCTTTTTGCACTTGACAAATCACATTGAATGCAATTAGAACTCTCAATGTTCTAGTCCCTATTATGAGCATATTAGTAATAATCTTCTCATTTAGTTCTCTCAACTTTGAGGTAGTCACTCTTGTTTCATAGATGACAAAACTGAGACTTAGTTTTTTTAAATTGCATAGTTAGTAAATGATATAACAGAGATTTCAATGTGATATGCTTATTCTGAAATCCCTGCTCTTAAACAAAAAAGTTAAGAGACTTTGAACTAGGAATGGGTGTTCTCTTACTCCAATAAATCTCTCTACTGTAGCACATGTCTATTCCTCATTGTTGTTACCATAATCCATCAAAGAATTCACCCAAATAATAAATAATTAAATGTTGTGTACATTTTACTCTTCTAGACTCTTTGGAAAATTTAAAGCTGATCAATTTTCCTAGGGGCAATAAAGATGACGTTCATGCAAGTTTAAATAACTATGAATCTCATAGTTAGACTCATTCAGCAATGTATGATCAACACAGTATCAGCTCTGTGAAATGTAGTTACTATTCACTTATAAGGGATTCAAGGATCCCACTGTAAACATCACTACTACTGTTAGCTTTAGCAAGCAACCATATTTGGGATATGCAAATTTAGCTATTATTTTCACAGAGTCATCAAAACATTCTGGGCTCTATTTCATTAATTTAAGGGAAAGATTTTGAATCCAGTGGCATAATGCCAGAAAATTATAAAATCAGTTGGGAAGAATGGGGATGAAATAAAATAGTTTCAAAGTCTCTTAAGAAAATTAAAGTAAAATTAATGGGATTGTGGGAGCAAAATTCTTGCTACCAAGTTTACTAATTAAGCAGAGATAATCTGAGGCTTCTTTTACCTGTGGATCATGTTCCGTGTGTACCAAACAGAAGGAAAAGAGTCCTTCAGGAGGGAGGTGTAATTGCGGTTGAGGTCGCGCCCAGCTAAGGAGCACCGGTAGTTCCCCACAATGACACCATCTGGATTCAGCATGGGTACCACCTTGAAGATGAAAGTGTCCCGAAGCAACTGGGCGTCACTTGAGTCTCCTAAAATGTAATCTAGGAAGCCTTTCATGATCCAGGAGCTGTTGGTCTCACCCGGATGGACCCTTGCGGTCAGAATCACGGCCTTCCTCTTCCTGGAGTCCGAGTTCTTCAGGGGCGTGGTGATGGTCAACACGTACACCATGTTCCTGGCGAGCGTGTGGCACAGGACGCGGGTTTTGCAGAACTTGGACCGTACTGGGTCATTATTGATGCCAGAAAGGTATTCTTGCAGGTTGGTGTAAGTGTATGGGTAGCAGTGCGCAAAGTAGCAGGTGTCCTTGTTGTGTGGAAACTGGAATGTCCACGTGAGGGAGAAGAAGTGGCGGCCTTCCTGGCCCAGGTTATTCTTGTAGTACCTGATCTGGTCTCCTATTCTCTGCCAGCCAACGTTGTGAGCCTTGGCCTCTTTTTCAGAATAGAAGAGTGGGCGCATGCCCCGATTGTAAAGGCTAGTGGGCTTGGTGAAGTTGACAATGGTGAATCTGTAGACAGTTTCTGCTTGGGTGTTAGAGACTTGGAAATAATACCACTGGGTGTGCTTGTTTGTGAAGAGGTCAGGGCGCACAGTCAACTGGTACTCGTATTCTGCCCTAATACATGAGAAAGGAAGGGGGGAAGCACATTAGAAGGTAAAAATTAAATCTGAGTTTAAGTTAAATGAAGAAAATTATTTTATTTTTATCTGTTTTACATATCCACAGAATTTTTTTTTTTTTTTTTGCGGGATACAATGTTTACTTAGGCTGTATTCAATAGCGAGTAACTTCAAAAGATAAAATTCTGAAATTTTCTCTTTCATTGGCTGAAAACCTGCTTCTGTGCTAATTCTAAGTCCTTTGTATTTCTTTGTGTTCAAGAGAGCACAATAAAAACACAGGCTTTTGAAAAATTATATATTTCCAAGTAATTGTTTTCTAGAAAATAAATGATTAATGAAGTATTGATAATAAGAAAAATCCATATGTCCTTCTTTGTTTTAGGCACATTTCTATTTTTAATTGATTTTTTTAAAAAGATAAATGACAGGGGAATGCATTATAATTCTTATTACACACAGCACAGTTTTTCATGTTTCTGGTTGTATATAAAGTATGTTCACACCAGTTCGTAAGACACATTTCAATTCTAGGGATATGAAATGGTTTTCATTGAGACTGACTATATCACATAGATTCATTGATCATATGTAAGTTATAAAATTTGAATTCCTTCAGTACAATAACTTCTTTAGTACAAGGACTACATTTCATAACTATGTGAATCCCAACTAAGTCACTGAAGATGATGTGAAATAAGGCTCTTCCAGCAAACTCATGGGCTTGATGTTCTGCCTCACTTGAGCCCAGGGCAATGGAGCTGCCGGACCATGAACTGAACCTCTGAAATCTGGAGACAGGAAGAATGGACCAAGTTGGAGGTAGAGAATTGCCCTTGTATCTACACAAGGGCCCAGGGAGAAGGCATGGTCTATGAAGAAGTGGGCCTTCATCAGATTCTGAATCTGCAGGCACTTTGACTTTGGATTTCCCAGGCTCCAGAACTTGCTAAGGATCAAACCCAGGTCCTTTCTCAAGTTAGGCAAGCACTGAACTACACCACCAGCCTAGAAAATGTTATTGTTAAGAGATGTTTAATTTTACCAAAATAGTATTCTACATTTAATGTAACAACTGTATAATTTTATTTTTTGTTTGAAAATATGAACTATTTTTTAAAATAGTAAGATTGCAAGTATTTTATTTGTTTCATAATGAAATACAGTTTATTCAATAAGTATTTATAAATAACATACTCTGGAAAAAAGATATAAAATTATATTCTAAATTTCCAAAATTTTAATGCTTATTTGTATTATAATTTAATTATTTATATTTTGATTAATCTTCATGTTGGAAGTATACTGAATATTAATTTTTTAAAGTAGAAATAATAAAGAAAAATCTCTATTCTGACCTTTAGTATAAACAAGCTGCTTTTATTACAAGCAAATGTTATTGGGATGTGTTACTCTGAGAATATGGGATTTCTATTATGTAGTCAATGATTTTTATTATTAAAGAATAAAATACAATTATAGAAAAGTGTCAAATAAGGACAAAAATGTTTCACTGGGATATTGTTTATATCGCATGGTTAGTTGGGACTTTTTTTTGTATACCTAATACAAAAAATAAATAGTTGATGGTCTGGTCCCTCAAATAAAAATTATTAAAACCTACACTTTGACTACCTTCTGTAGATTACCACTCTCAAACCTTGCTTCGAACATCAAAGTATTGTCACAGGTGTCAACAGGTGGCTTCAAGGGTGTTCGATTGCCCCCAACTCGGGAATACACAAAACAGGGCTCTTTGTAAGCTGATAAGAGAGAAGACCATGGAGATGTCAAGACATGACAAAAGTAGAGACATCTAAAGTATGCCGACTATTCCACATAGAGTTTGGAAATACACCTCTACTAATATGAAGATTGTAAATCTAAAGTTATTTGTTACCAATTTATATAGATTTGGATTGAAGTTAAGAGACTCTAAGAGTACTTAGAATAGAAAAGCAATACCTAAATTAAATTTACATATTAATCATATTAAAATATTCATTCCACTTCTGCTCATGATAGAGTAACTAGTCCTGAACTTTACGAAACTTTTACTGTAAATGACTGTGAAATATGAGTTCCTTCCATTACTTTGGACAACACATATAATAGAACTAACTACAGTTACTGAAAAGAAATAAAATATATGGAGTGAACCCATATTTAGCCCTGATTTTATGCACAGGGGTACTTTCTGGACCAAAGTTGGGGGAGGTTGCACTTAATAACATGACAGCTTTGTTGCGTTGAGGTAAGATTGCTTTTTTTTTTTTGAAGCTGCTGAAATTTGTAAGGCAGAGAGAAGAAAGCTACATAGAGGAAGAGCCTCAGCAGTCTAGAGGTTCCCCAGTCCTTCACTAAGGGTGTAGCTACAGGAAGGGTGAGACTTAGAAAGAAAGGAAGAAGCACCACTGGGGGCATACAGTTTAGGAATACCCTGGAATTCCAATGTATTCATGATGGAAATATTTCCTAGAACACCCTGGGCATTCAATTGTAACTCCAGAAAGCCTGTACCCTAGGTATAAGCACCATGATCAAAAGTAAGGGTAGGATAAGATTAAGATAAAAATTAGTCTGCCTGGGTGTTCTACCACTGAGCTGTATTCTGAGCCCTTTTTATTTTCTAATTTGAGGCAAGGTCTCCCTAAATTGCTAAGGCTGTCCTCAAAATTATGATCCTCCTGCCTCGGCCTAGGATTATAGGTGCATGCCCTTATAAAGCGTGCATGCACGCGTGCGCGCACACACACACGCACAAGCCACAGTTGTTGGGGACTGCCTCTCCTAACAGCTAAGGGTTTCTACGGGTCTGGAAACCGTTCTGTGCTCTTACCCATTCTGTGCTCAGACCCAGGAGATGTTTTGATGCTACTCTGTTGACAGTCCTATCTTGCTTCACCATCCCCCTTTAATCTCCCTTAATTCTGACCACCCTTTTGTAAATTCATTAAATTTCAGTAAACTATCTTACATTACCCTATATGTGCCATCTAATTCCTGGAGATACCCTTCACTGACTTGCCTATTGGATCTTATTTCAGTTATGTATGGATATTACCAAGGGTTCAAAGGAGATAACAATGAACATTGTTAACACTATAACAAGACTCATGACATTTTATTTATACCTTGTTCTAAATTATTGAGTAGATCAGGAGTATTTTGTACTTGTTATGGATTTTATACTACAATTTCTGTTTCTAAGGCAGGTTAGCCATGTTAATATTTGAAATCAAATTTTTAAAAATCTGAAGTACTTCTCTCATTCTAGTTATTTAAAAATATGAATGTAATCATGATTTCTAGATTTACTTACTATATAGGAAATGGCCCCTGTGAATTTCTCTTCATCTTGTTAATATTTTAAAAATACATCACTAAGATATCAAACAGCAATGGTGAAATTGTTTAGGAACCCCATCATTCCTCACTTTAGTGCTTCAGGAACAGTACAGTTTAGAATATGGGATGAGACTTCTGTATTTGATTATTAACACTCTCTTATCATAAAAGCAGACGGATTTTGCACTGATAGATCTCAAAGTGTAAATATTGATTGTGAATGATATCCTGAGATATAGTCGTGGATATTATTTGCAATATGGGGTGTTTTCTTCTTTTTCAAATATGATAACACTAAGATATGCATTGAACAGGTGTGCAATTAAAAGAAACCCATCTGAATGATTGCATGAATGTGAGCCATAGATGGCCAGTGAACAATAGTTGCAGAGCACACTAGATTTATCTTTGAAAACTTACATGAGGCAGAATTCATTCTAAATATAACTTTCTGTTCTAATGTTCAACATGAAGCCTTATTTTAAAGTAGCTGCATAAACTAGCACTTCTTCAAAAATATAATTAGTTTAAATTGATAATTGAATCAAATATTTCAACCAATATTATGGGGACAGGGACTTTATAGCAATCTGAAATTTCTACTATTAACAGCAGAACAAATATAACTAAGACATTAACCAAGGTGTCCAATTATATATCACAGCAATGTGTTTCATTATGCACTTACCATCTTCAGCCAGATAAACCACAGTGTCTTCCTTGGAGCTTGAATAAAGGGGTTCCATTTCTAGACCTGTTGGGATATATACTGGCTCAGGATAAAAAGGAGTCCAATCTGGAAGAAAGAGAGGGCACTCTTTGAATATTACTTCAAAATAAAGTGGGCAAATTATATTTTCAGATTATTAATTGATATATATATATATATACATATAGGCTAAAATGAAGCATTTTATTAAGGGGTAGATATTACCAAGGGTTCAAAGGAGGTAACAATAAACATTGTAACACTATAACAAAACTCATGACATTTTATTTATACCTTGTTCTAAATTATTGAGTAGATCAGGATTATTTTGTACTTGTTATGGATTTTATACTACAATTTCTGTTTATCTTGAGCCCTTGATACCATTCTATTCCCCTCTAAGAGTCTTGTTCCACCTCTTATTCTTCCTGTCCCTGCACTCTAAGCCTCTTGATTGATAATGGTGTCCTCTAAGCTTATGAACATATTACAGATTTTTTTTGTACATTAAGTAAATTTGGGTCAGGATTTTTTTCTACATGGATATTAAGTTGTTATAGAACCAATTCTGTTTTTTTAGTATATAATCTTTTTATTTTTTATTAGAGCTTTTCAATTATACATAGTAGTGAGTTCATCCTGACAAACTCATACATGCATGGAAGTCAATTTCAATTCATGATCCTCCTTTTCCCTCTTGTCCTCTCCCCTCTCCTATTCTCTTTCTTCTACTCTACTAGACTTCCTTTTACTTGTCTATAATTTGTATTGATTAGTCCTATATGTTATCCTATCCTGCCTTCTTTTACTCTAGCTTCTTCCTATGAGAGAAAATATTTGATCTTTGAGTTTCTGAGTATGGCTAATTTCGTTTAGCATGATATTCTTCCATTTCTATCCATTTACTGACAAATTCCATAATTCAATTCCTTTTTATGGCTGAGTAGAATTCCATTTTATATATATACTACAGCTTCTTAATCCATTAATCTGGACATCTGGGTTGATTCCATAATTTAGCTATTATGAATTGTACTGCTATAAACATTGATGTGGTTGTGTCGCTGTAGTATGCTGATTTTAGATCTTTTGGGAAAATACTGTCATGGTATATAATCTTTTTTGATGTGTTGTTGACTAATTTGTTAGTATTTTTCCAAGGATTTTGCATCAATATTATTATTGGCCTGTAGAGTTCTTGTAGTCTCTTTGACTTTGGGTTATGGCACCAATTCTTGAAAAGACGTTTCTTGACCCCATTAGATTGCTTTGGTGCTTTTATTAAAAACCATTTAATCAAAATTGTGTTGGTCTATTTCTAAACTTTTTATTCTGTTCCAATGATATATTAACATTTTTGCCAATTATTTGTGCCTATTTAAAAAATCTACCAAAATATACTTCTATTCATTGCTTACATGGTGAGAAAGAACTCAAATATGTAAACGAAACATTTACTAGGAATTACATTTATGAAAAGCAAAACAAAGAAATACCGCTCACTGATTTATCACAAAGGAAATAACATATTGGTTAAGAAATATTGCATTGCCAGTATGCAGGTGTCTCACTCATGTCCCCTTCCTACCACTTGTCTTTCTGTCCCCTTTTAGCTTTTCAATAATGCATTTACTTCCTTATTTTCCTTTATAGTTTTACCACCCAAGTGTTCATATATATTCAAGTGTGCAATGTAGTTTAGATATAAAACTATAGTTTTTTCTACTTTTGAACTTAACATAAGTCAAACCCCATACTATTCTTCTGTGCCTTCTTCCATGATGATATTTATGAAATCTATCCACATTGTGGCAATTTGCTATATATTGTCCATTTTCTTTGCTATATGTTATTGTCTAAGTATGCTATAATATTATCATTTTTACTTGACTGGGTTGTTTCAGTTAGGGCTAATGAACAGTGGTGCTATGAACAGCTTTATATATATATATTCCTTGGAGTACCTGTGCTCATAATTCTTTGGCGTATATACTTGGGAGTAAAAATTCTAAGTAGAAGTATGTATATCTTCAACTTCAGCAAATAATGCTAAGCTGTCATCCAAATTGTTCATCTTAATTTATACATCTGCCATCAGATGATGAAAGTTCTATTTGCTCTACATAATCACTATTGCTTAGTATATGTGAAATTTAATTCTAATATGCCTATGGAACAATACTCCGCCTTACTAACAATCAGGTAAATGTAAATTAAAAACACAATGAGACACCACTTCATAATAAGATTGAGTACCACTGTTTCATGTTTATTGGACATTTGGATATCATTTTTATTATGTGCCTATTAGACTCTCTTGCCCAATTTCCTGAAGGGTTGCCTTTTACTTATTCCTTGTGGAAATACTTTCTATATCCTAGAAATGACCTTTTTGCCCAGGTGTAATTTTGGTTGTCAATGTGACCGGATTGAGAGATCCTAGAGAATGGTAAGGCACACTTTTGGTGTGCCTGTGAGGGTGCTTCACAGATGATCAGCATGTAAGTCAGCAAACTGGGTGGGAAGACTCACCCAAATGTGGGTGGCACTGTGCAGTAGGCAGGGGGCCTGGATAGAACATGGGGAAGCTTGTTCTGGCCTGCAGCTGACTCTTCTTAAGTGCTGCTTTTATTGCAGCTACCCCCTCAATCATGGACATCACACTCCAGATTTCTTAGGGCATCAGTGACTCTCCAGGGCATTCTGGGCCTTGAGTCTTGGATTGGAGCTGTATCACTGAGCTCTCTTGTCTGAGGCTTCCAGTTTCCTGGACTGAGTAGCTACTGGTTTCCACTCTCCTGTCTGCAGGTGGCCACTGTGGCCATGATTCAGCCTCTGATCATGATCCAGTCTAAGAAATTCCCTTATAATTATACATACTGGGAAAGTTTTTGTGGTGCTGGCTTGGGGAGAGTAACAGCAACCTCCACCAAAACTCTACCCAGACAATCCACCCACTCTTCCTTTGGAATGAGAGGCTTAATCTTTAATAGGACACTGATAAAAATAATTTCATTGGGGAAGGGAAACAATGGGAAAAAAAGTACTACCATTGAGTGAGGGGCTGGCATAGGTGCCATTTTCTGTTTCTATGTTTGCCTATTCTTGACATTTCATACAGATGGAATTACATTTGTACCTTTGTGTCTGGCTTATCTTAGCATGGTGTTTTCAAGGTTCTCTTGTCTTGTAGCATGTATCAGTACTTCATTTCTTTTTATGGCCAGTTAATATTCCATCATGCGACAAACCACATTTGTTTATTCATTCATGTGTTGATGGAAATTTGGATTTTTCCATGTTTTGGCTATTACAAATAATGCTATTAACATTTGTATGCAGTTTTTTCTTTGGGCATATGTTTTCACTTCTCTTGGGTAGACCTAGTAATAGAAATGCTGAGTCTCTGACTTTAGCTCTGACTTTCTGAGGCAATGCCAACCTCTTCCAGTTTCTCTACATCCTTACCAACATTTGTTATCTGGCTTTTTGATTCTAGTCACTTAGCTGATTTAAAGTTGTATCTTAATGTTGTATTAATTTGTATTTCTCTGATGACTAAAGATGTTGAACATGTTTTCATGTGTTTATTGGCCATTTGTTTATCTTCTCTGGAGAAATGTTTTATCGGAACCTCTGCACGTTTAAAACTTTTAAGTTGTAGATAAACACAATACCTTTATTTTATTTATTATTATGTGGTGCCAAGGATTGAACCCAGTGTCTCATGAAAGCTAGGCACGCATTCTACCACTGAGCTACAACCCCAGCCCGCTTTGCACATTTTTAAGTTGAATTGTTTGTCTTTTGATTTTTGAGTTGGAAGTGTCTTTAATATATTGTAGATGCAAGTCCTTTGTTAGATACATAATTCAAAGTTTTTAATTCTATGGGTTATATTTTCATTTGCTTGATAATTTCCTTGGAAGCATAAACACTTTCAGTTTTAATGAAGTCTAATTTATCTGTTTTTCTTTTTTTTTTTTTTTTTTTTTGTCCTGTTCTTGTTTTGATGTTTTACTTAAAAACTCACTACCAAATTCGGAGTCAGGAAGATTTTCCTGTTTCCTTCTATAAGTTTTATAGTTTTGATTCTTACACATTTAGGTTTTGATCCACTTTGAATTAATTTCTGCATATGTGTTAGTTAATAAGGGTTGAACTTCATTTTCTTTCCTTTGCATGTGACTATATATCAACTTGTCCCAGAACCAGCTGTTGAAAAGACTTTCTTATTGAATAATCTTGTCATGCTTGTCAACAATCATTTGTCCACAGACACATGGATTTATTTCTGGATGTTTAATGTAATTTTATAGGTACAGGGAATCAAACCTGGGGTCTTATACATGCTAGGCAAGCACTCTGCCACTGAGCTACATCCCAAGTCCCCTTGCCCTTTACATTATTTTTTTAGTTTTGAGACAAAGTCTTGCTAAGTTGCCTAGGATGACCTTGAACTTGTAATCCTCTTGCCTCAGCCTCCCAAGTTATTCAGTGGTCTATATGTCTACCCTCATGACAGTATCACACTGTTTAAATTACCAGTAGGTTTTTAGTAAGTTCTGAAATCATGGAGGTATGATTCCTTAAATTTTTTTTCAAGTTTTTATTTTTTCAGAGCTATTCAGGGTTTTTAAATTTTCCATATAAGTTTTAGGATTCACATGGCTATTCTACAAGACAGCCAGTTGGTATCTAATGGGAATTTCATTTAATCTGTAGATCAATTTGGTAAGGACTACCACTGTAACCTAGGAAGTCTTCTGACCCATGAATATGGAATATTGATCCATGTATTTATTAGATTTTTAGATCTTTATTTCTTTCAGCAATGATCTTTAGTTTTTAGAATATAAGTTTTGCACTCTTTTCTTTAATTCTAGCTATTTTATTCTTTGATTTTCTTTAAAGTAGAATTGTTTTAAGTTCATTTTAGGGCTGTTCATTATAAGAGTATAGAAAAATAATCGAATTTTGCTTATCAACCTTGTGTTTTGCAACCTGGCTGAACTCATTAGTTCGAAATAAATTTTGTTTAGTGAATTCTTTAGGATTCTCTATATCCAACCATGTCCCATGGCTCA